AAAATGCTTCCCCATTTGGGTCTGAAGGGACCTGAAGGGACCTGCTGCTGGGCCAGGCTTGGAAATTTGGACTTGTTTTGGAGGAAAATAAAGCCTCATGAATGAACAAACAAACAAACAAACAAACAAACAAACAAACAAACTTACAGTGAATTAATAACATGTGAGTATCCAATTTGTGCCAAACAAAATTTAAGTCATTTCAAAATAATTTTATGTATGCTTATGAGGACAACTAAATTACCTCCTAAAGAGTAATTATTTATGAAAATGTTACAAAGTCTCCTTCTGGAACAAACTGTTGCTAAAAAGGCTTGCTTTCCAAAATGCACACATGCCTTGCACCCACACACGTGCACACTGGCTGCTGTAATAGTGGTGTCATGGTAGGTCTTGATGGGGGGGGGGTCTTCACTTCACACTTTTCTTCAATTCTGCTGATTAAGCCCCAAACGTTATAAGTGCTCTTTTACATAATACTGTTTCTCATTCTCCACCATCCTGTTGCCTTCCTTTAAACCTGCCCCAATCTACCTCTTCCACACTTGAAGTATAGAACCGAGCACGATATTCCAGGTGTTTTTTGACCTGTCAAGCAGAGTGAAACAAGCTATTATGTTGATGTTCCTTGTTGTGAAGATTCCATTTTTATTAATGCTGATTAAGATTAAGAATGCTCTTGGAGGGTCTGTCTGTCAATGTTAATTTGTTCATTCCCTGATTCAGTAGACAGGTATTTTTTGAGGCCTTACCATGTGTCAGTTCTGGGAGGTATGAGAACATATATTGGAGTAGTTAATATAATGATCCCCCAAAGTTGTCCACATTATAATCCCTGAAACCTAGAACTGTTTCTTTATATGGCAAAAGGGATTTTACAGGTGTGATTGAGTTAAGGCTCTTGAGCTAGGGAGAGCCCCAGGTGGGCTCAATGTACCCGCAAGCCTTCTTAAAAGAGGAAGGCAGATGGGTCAGAGCAAGAGAAAGTGGTTGGTGGAAGGACAGGAAAAGAGATATTTGAGGATGCCATTTTGCTGTCCTTGAAGACGGAGGAAGGGGTTGTCGTGAGCCAAGGAACACAGGTAGTCTTTAGGAGGTGAAAACACGAGTTGGATTCTCCCTTTGAACCTTCAGGAGGAACACGGCCATGCCAACACATGGGCTTTATGACTTCTGACCTCCAGTACAGTAAGGTAAAAAATTTTGTGTTGTTTAAAGCTACTAAATGAGTGGTAATTTGTCACAGTAACAATAGGAAACCAGGGAAAAGGTCCTAAAAGCCTTTTTTTGAGAGCTGAAAGATGAGGAGGAGATGAGGAGGCTAGGTAAATTTGGGGAAAGGAGAAGGAATTCCAGATGAAGAGATTACTTCATGAGGTTCACCAGGAAGACAGGTGGTAAGTACAATTAAGTCAGGCGATGAAGAGGGAGCGCAGTTTCTGATACTGGGGACAAGGAGGTAGGAGTTGGATTATTCTTATAGGCCATTCGATGAAAGGAGAACAATAATATTGATCTTAAAGCGTTTTTTAAAAATGTTTATTTATTTTGAGAGAGAAAGAGCGTGTGTATGCATGGAAACAGGGCAGAGAGAGGGAATCCCAAGAGGCTCTGTCCTGTCAGCTGGGAGCCCAACGTGGGGCTACGAATGGTGAGAGATCATGACCTGAGCTGAAATCCAGAGTCAGGCACTTAAGCTTAACTAACTGAGCCACTCAGGCACCCCATCTTAAAAGTGTTTTTGTGAAGATAAAATGATCCATTTAAGTGCCTGGCATGTAATAAAGTAATCAGAGAGTTTAGCTGTTATAACTGTTAACGTTTGAACTTCTAGTGTTCAAAGACTTGATACAGAATATGTAAGATAAATTTCTTTGGAGATATAACAAATATATAGACGAGTGTATAGACATGAAGACAGATTAACCAGAATTCTACAGTGAATGTCTATATAACCACAAAATCAGGCCCCTGTCCTCACGGAGCTTACAGCTTGGAGGGGGAGACCAACATTAATCAAATAATCATACAAATACAAAATCAAGTCTGGGACAAATGCTTTGAAGAAGATACAAAGTGAATGTAATAACAGCAGGACTTGTCCTAGTCGGGAGAACAAAGAAGAGTTTCCTAAGGAAAAGATATTTGAGGTGACTGCTAAAGAAAAAGCAGAAACCAGGTGGAGAGTAAGGAGCATTCCTAGTAAAAGGAACAACACCTGGAAAGGGTCTGAGGCTACAGCAAGCACATCCTGTAGAAAGGTCTTTGAGCGATAACAAGAAAGGGAGGTTGGGATATTCCTTCCTAGACTTTGTGAGCTCCTTGAGGTCAGAGATTGTGTCGTACTCAATTTTGTATCAAATCTAGAATGGGTTGTTAAATTGACTTGGGTGCAGATTTTATTTTGTAGCTACTGGAAGCCACTGAAAGTGTTTTTTGGATCAGGTAAATTATAATACTGCCTGGTTAGTGCTAGTAAGGAGAGTATGTAGTGGCTGCTACCACAGCATGTGCCTGATACCCTGGAGGACTGAATTTTGCCTATGTACTCAGCTTTCTCAGTCGAAAGGGTAACCGAATAATATTCTGAAGGTGGAGTAAAAGAGAAACCTGTGTTTTAAACTGATCCAACAAGAATGAATGTGAGAGGACTTGTTAAAGATCGAGCTTCCCAGGACCCATTCCAGACCTTCCAAATTAGACCCAGGGAGGGATATGGACAACGGTGTTTACTAACAAGCACCCCACCTGATTCTTATTTTCAAAGTTTGGAAAACCCTGGCATAGAGAAAATTCAAGGGAAAAGGAAAGGCATGTGTAAAAGTATGAGCCTATGAAAGAAACAGAAGATGTATTTAGGAAATTATTGGAGAGTGGGGCGCTTGAGGGGAAGTAGTTATTGCTGAGGCTGGAGATTCCTCATTAAGTTAATAAATCTTGTGAATGGAGAATCATTGGAGTATCTTAGGTAAGGAAGGGAGTCATTTGAGAGGAAGCAACCTGAGAAATTGAAGAGCACAGGTTTGCAACACTTCTGAGGCATAATTGATAGAGCTTAATGGCGACTTCCATGAGAGAAATAAGAAAGGGGTAAAGAGCCAACTCAAGGTTTCTAATGTGATAGACTGCCTTTGTTAGAGAGGGAATGATATGGTAAGAAAGCATCCCATTTTGGCTCAAGTTTTATATGACAGATGACACCAAGTGAATATGCCAACAGATCGAAATAGAGACTTTCAGTTTGGGGAAAAAGTTCTCAGGATAGAGAATATGGTTATGGGAGTCATTTCAAATCAGGAGAATCTCACTTGTATGAGGATGTAAGCTGATAAATGGACTACACACAAAATTAAGAGAAACTGACATATTGAAGTAGCACCTAGAGGAGAAATCCACAAAGGAGAACAGAGATGAAAAAGCTAGCAACTGCAATCTTGATTAGTCTAATCATCTAATGCTCCCTACAATTCCAGAGGAAGTGAGCTGAAAAAGTAAGAATATTTTAATTTTTTGGTTGGACTGATAAAATATTTGCCACCTATCTAGAACATTCTAAACACTTAGTAAAATTCTAGAAAACCTGCTATTGATTGACCCAAGCAGCTAAAAGAAACATACAAAATCAAGTTGCTGATTCTTAGATTCAAGAATACCAGAAGTCATTGATACTTGAATTTTAGTCCTGGCTTTTCCACTAATTTGGGCAAATCATTCATTTATTTTTAAATGGCTATTTATATTGAGAGAGAGGCCACATGAGTGGGGGAATGGGGGGAGAGAGAGAGAAAGAGAGGGGGAGGGGTGGAGAAAGAGCATCCCATGCAGATGCCATGCTGTCAGCCCAGACCCTGACTCAGGCCTCCATCCCACAAACCTTGAGATCATGCCCTGAGCAAAAATCCAGAGTTGGATGCTTAATCAACTGAGCCACCTAGGCGCCCCTGGGCAAATCACTTAAATGCTATAAATCCATTTCCCCATCTTAAACAAACAAAGACACTGGGATAACTGATGTCTTAGGTTGCTTCCAGCTGTAAAATCTGAAGTTTTTCCAGAGACACAAGCAAATCTGAGATGGAGATCTTAAACAGATTTATTCAAGAGCAAATCTTGAAGTAATGATAATTGTTTCCCAATCTCACCCTTCCCCCATCCTTAATGAATATTGATTTGGATATACCCAGTTATAGACGAAGCACTGAATACTTTTCTAGTTCCTGTCATGAGTACATTTTTGATTGTCACTCATCCTACTCTGAGTCGTGTCTGATGTCACCTCAGTGGAATGGTATCCATTTGTACCCCACCTAGAAGAACCTCTACTTCCTTGGTACCTTTTAAAGTGGCTCATCAAGTCTGAAACTCCCCTTTTCCCCAATGGAATCACAAGCTTACTTCAGGGAGTTGGGAGATGGGACTCTCTAAACTGAGGGACTCAGTGCAGTTTAGTATACACTTGGGACCTCAAGAGCTAGACTTAAAAAAAAAAAAAGATTGGGGGAAAAAAACTTTAAAAAGCCTCATGACTCCCTTGCAAGAGGCATTTACTTTATATCCACTGGTGTAGAACGCATACGGAATTGGATAACCAGTGTCCTCCTTCTCTTGATTACTGCAAATACTTGTGCCTGCCACAGTGCTGGTTTCCAGAGTTACATTAATTTTAAAAAGACAGTCCTTGTGAGGTCGGCCCCGATTTGAGTTGCTGCACAGAGGGAATTTCAGCATGCAATATTTTAGAAAAGCAATTGGGCATATCCATAAGGACTGGGCTCGAAGACGTCTGCCTAGGAAAAAGACAAACAGACCAACTCCTCTTTCTTTGCGCCGCCTCCCTAGGCGCAAGAAGTGCATATACACTGGTCACTCCAGGCACTCACAACCGGATGACTGCTTCCGGTGAATGCACCAACCCACCTGCAGGCTCCGCCCCGAGGTCCGCCACCCTCCCAGCAGGCGCTGCGCGTGAGTTGTAGCCCCGCCTCTTGCGGCGCTGTGCTATGGCGGAATTGGACATAGGACAGCACTGCCAGGTGGAGCATTGCCGGCAGCGAGGTGATCTAGCTGTCCTTAACTCTAGGCGTGGTAGATGTGTACCCTGCTGAGCCTCCACGGGTAGTGGCGGTGGGTGAGGGGAGGTCGTGGGGCGCGGTCGAGTCTGAGGAGGCAGGGCGGGTACGTCCCTCCTGGGTCGGCAGTGAGATGTGTTGGTATTTTTGTTGCCCCTGAGCCTTTGGCAGTCTGGCGGTCTCTTTGGAAGGGAACTATGCAATTTCTGGAAACATGGCTTGCAGTGTTCATTTTGGGTTTCGAGTGCGCTTTGCCAAGAAGTTGCGTCGCTCCCAGTCCTTTCTGACACTTAGGTCTGGGAGTGTGGAGACCTGTGTTCCCCTCTGGTCCTGCCACTGCGGCCTTGGGCAAGACACCTTTCCCAAACTATTTATCTGTTCCTCATCTGTCAGATGAAGGAGTTGAGCGAGATCCGTTTTAAACCTGGTCTTCGCAGCTTCTAGTGAGAACGCCCTTAGCTTTGATCAGACTCTCCTCCTCGGGTTTCTACTAGGATGATCACCATGCTCACTCAGTTATGTCATTCTTTGAATCTCACTGACTCAACATTTATTGAGCATCAGTTTTGGTGCTGGAACTGCATAGGAGGGTGTAAAACACGATCTTTTCCATAGAAAAGCTTTCAGAATAATCGGCAGTTTGGAGCATTAATAAGGTGATGTTCTCTCTATGCGGAACTGAGAGATGATGTGATATACACACAGTCCAATGTAATAGTCAGTGGTAGTATGGCACAGGCCTTAGGATGGCCTGCGTCTGGAGCAGGCAAATTCCCAAAGCATTACAGCCGTATAGAATGCTCAGTCTTTGGTACCCAAGTTTCACTCCCAAATGTGTGCTATGACTGTTGGCCACTGTTTGCCTGGGTGGCAAACAGGTTTCATCTCTCATTGCAGCCTTGGTTATTGGTAGTAGGTACCTGGTGAATGGAGTACTCTTGACATTTAGCCCAGATTTCATGGGAATGTTACAACTGATTCGTGATACCTGTTGTGGTTAGTGGGCAAAAGGGCACAATCCCTGGTAGGTTCTTGTTACCTACAGCACTCTATGTATCTTTTACCACTAGCTGTCATGGCCAGCCGTTCAGGAAACCTATTTCCTTGCACATCTTTCACAGAGAACCTTAGCCAATTGGGTTTTGACTGTAAGTTATGTTTATGTCTTGTATACCTGATTACCAAATCCATGGTATCTACCAACTTCTGATAGCTCTTAAAGTATAAATATATATGAAATGAGACCAGGGTGTAGCTCTTTTGGACTAGCGGAGAGGGGTTTTTAGAGGGTATTATGTGAGTATCCTAAATTTTGTTTAGCTTTTGGTTGGATAGAGGGATGGTGTCAGGAAATTACCTTCATCTTAACTCTTCCCTCTGGGTCCTCTTGGTTTGCATTTAATTTTTAGTTCATCACCAAAAGTGCAAGCATGTACAATTTCTCCAATTTAAAAGAGGCATAAAAGTTGAACAGTATTTTATGGTTCAGTTTCTTGTTGACAAATGAATACATACTTCCTTGGCCTGAAACATGCTCACAGTGTCGTACTTCAGAACAATGGTGTCAATTCACTTAGGCTACTTCTGAGGTGTAAGAAGAGCTTTGTTCAGTCTCTTGTTCCACAAACTGAATTATCCAGGGATCCCTGTGGATTATAATAGGACCTCTTCTTTCTGTTTTGGATAAGGTATCCTGTAGGATGAGATCTTTTGCAAGGCAATTGTAGTCTTTCTGTAAAGTGTGGTGCCTTTTGTTTTCACTTTGTAAAAGTGGTGTGATTGGACATTTGCAGCTTCACTTGGCTGTATACTGTAATACGAGGTCAAAATAGTTTAAACAGTCAATAATTTGGAGAGTGATTGTATCTAGTGAGAGTGGATACTTTTGTGTGCTTTTCAAAAATTCATTTCCTAACTTAGTTGTTCCTCAACAGAAAGGAAAAACAATTCAGGACTAAATATGGCAGTATCAATTTATCTATTGGATTTCTGAAGTATCTTTGAACACATTTCCCCATAGTCACCACAGGATTTTTCTGAGTTCAGTGTATTCAAAACAAGTTAATTGTTGCAGTTATTACTAATTAGTTACTTCCTATTCTTATCTTTTACATCTATCTCATTTGGTTTTTGCAATTAACCTGTGAAGTACGTGTGACATACAGTATAGAAACATGTACACACATATAAACATGTACATACAGAAGACATGATATGCCTGTACCTAATATCTATTTATGTCTATACTACCTGATAATAGAGCTTTGGTTTTGTGTGCATACACACACACACACAGAGTACTATATTCTATATCAAATATATATCCAAAGCCCTATTTTTTTTAAATATTTTACTGAGTAATACAAATGGTTCATTTTATTTCCCTATAACTTTTTAATTGGCATAGTTAACATACAATGTTATTAGTTTCAGGTGTGTAATATATAGATTCAGCAATTCCATATGTATTACTCAGTGCTTACCATGATCAATGTAGTCACGATTGTCACCATACAATGTTGTTATAATATTATTGATTATATTCACTATGCTGTACCTTTCATTTCTGTGACTTAATTACTTTATACCTGGAAGTTTGTACCTCTTAATCCCCTTTATCTTTTTCTCCTATCTCACCCACCTGTCCTCTGGCAACCAGCAGTTTGTTTTATGTAGTTGTCAGCTTTTTGGTTTCTCTGTTTTGTTTTTTAGGTTCCACGTACAAGTGAAATCATATGGTATTTCATTTATGATACTCTTCTGGTTCATTTATGTTGTCACAAATGGCAAGATCTCATTCTTTACGACTGAGTAATATTCCATAGTATGTATACATACCACCTCTTTCTCCATTCCTTTATTGATGGACACTTGGGCTGCTTCCGTATCTTGGCTATTGTAAATACTGCTGCAGTAAACACAGGGATGCATAGAACTTTTTGAATTACTGTTTTTATTTTCTTTGGGTCAATAATGAGTAGTGAGATTATTGGATCATATGGTATTTCTATTTTTAACTTTTTGAGGAACCTCCATACTGTTTTTCACAGTGACTGAACCAATTTACATTCTTACCAACAGTGTATGAGGGTCTCTTTTCTCCACATCTTTACAGACACTTATTATTTCTTGTGTTTTTGATTTTAGCCGTTCTGATAGGTGTAAGGTGATATTTCATTGTGGTTTTGATTTGCATTTTCTTGAGGATTAGTGATTTAAACATGTTTTCATAGTTCTATTGGCCATTTCTATATCTTTGGAAAAAGGTATATTTAGGTCCTCTGCTCATTTTTTTTTTAATGGAGTTATTTGTGTTTTTTTGGTTTTTGAGTTGTATAAGCTTTTTATTTGTTTATTATTTTTTTATATTTAGGATATTCACCCCTTGTCAGATCATTTGCAAATATCTTCTCCCATTCAGTAGATTGCCTTTTGTTAATGTTTTCCTTCGGTGCACAAAAGCTTTTTATTAGCTGTAGTCCCAAGTTTGTTTTTGTTACCCTTACCTAAGTTTTCTAGGAGTTTTATGTTTTCAGGTCTCACATGGAAGTCTTTAATCCATTTTGAGTTTATTTTTGTGTATGGTGTAAGAAATTTATTCAGTTTCATTCTTTTACATGTTCAGTTTTCCAAACACCATTTATTGAAGAGACTCTTTTTCCATTGCATATTCTTGCCTCCTATTTTGTAGGTTATTTGACCATGTAAGATTTTAGACCATTGTGTTTTCATTTTCATTTATCTTCATGTATTTTTGATTTCCTCTGTTGATTCATTATTTGATAGCATGTTGTTTAGCCTCCAAGTATTTATGGTCTTTCCAGACTTTTTCTTGTAATGGATTTCTCGTTTCATACCATCATAGTTGGACAGTCTTCCTAAATTTATTGAGACTAGTTTTGTGGCCTAATATGTGATCTGTCTTAGAGAATGTATTCTGTTTTTGGATGGAATGTCCTGTATATGTCTGTTAGGTCCATTTGGTCTAATGTTTCATTCAAAATCACTGTTTCCATATTGATTTTCTGTTTGGATGATTTATCCATTGATGCAAGTGGATTGTTAAAGTGCCCCACTATTTTTATATTGCTGTCAGTTTCTCCCTTTATGTCTGTTAGTAATTGCTTTATGTATCTGAGTTCTTCTATGTTGGGTACATAGATATTTACAATTGTTATATCTTCATGTTGGATTGTTACTTTTTGTCTTCATGTAGTAGGCTTTGTCTCTTGTTACAGTGTTTGTTGCCTTGGCCTTTTTTGGGCTTCCATTTGCATGTTAGGTTTTTTTCAGCCCTTTACTTTCAGTCTGTTTGTGTGTCTTTAGGTCTGAAGTAAGTCCCTTATAGGTAGCATATAGATGGGTCTCGTTTTTTAATCCATTCAGTTGCCCTATGTCTTTTGATTGGAGCATTTAGTCCATTTACATTTAAAGTAATTATTGACAAGTATGTAGTTATTGCCATTTTGTTACTTGTTTCATGGTTGTTTTTGTAGTGCTCAAGTTCCTTTTTCTCTTCTCTTGTGGTTTGATGGCTTTCTTTAGTGTTATGCTTGGATTTCTTTCTCTTTATTATTTGTGTATGTCTTACAGGTTTTTGATTTATGGTTACTGTGAGGTTCATATATAACATCTTATGCATACAGCAGTTTATATTAATGTGATGGTTACTTAAACTTGAACATTTTATTTTTTTTAAATTTTTGTTTTTTTCAGCGTTTATTTATTTTTGGGACAGAGAGAGACAGAGCATGAACGGGGGAGGGGCAGAGAGAGAGGGAGACACAGAATCGGAAACAGGCTCCAGGCTCCGAGCCATCAGCCCAGAGCCTGACGCGGGGCTCGAACTCACGGACCGCGAGATCGTGACCTGGCTGAGGTCGGACGCTTAACCGACTGCGCCACCCAGGCGCCCCTAAACTTGAACATTTTAAAAAGCACTAAATTTTTACTCTCCACCCCCCACCCATGTTTTATGTATATATCATGTTTTACCTAATTTTAGGACTCATTTTTGTAGATATCCTTAATTACTGCTTTTTAATTTCCATGCTGGTTTTATAAGTGATTTATCTACTACCTTTATTATATGTTTGCTTTTACCTGTGGAATATTTTCCTTTCGTAAGTTTCTTCTACTTAAGGTGTTTTCTTTCCACTCAGAATTCCCTTCAACGTCTTGTGTAGGGCTGGTTTAGTGTTGATGAACTCCTTTAACTTTCGCTTATCTGGGAAACTTTATCTCTCCTTCTATACCGAGTGATAACCTTGATGGGTAGAGTATTTTTGTTTGCAGGTTTTTTCCTTTTAGTACTTTGAATATATCATGCCACTACCTTCTGGCCTAAAAAGTTTTTGCTGGTAGCCTTATGGAGTTTTCCTTATATATATGCCTGGTTTTTTTTTTTTTTTCTTGCTGCTTTGAAAATTGTCTTTTTGCCATGTTAATTATAATCGGTATGAACCTTCTTGAGTACATCTTGTTATAGGTTGTCTTCACTTCTTAGATATGGATGGCTGTTTCCTTCCTCAGATTTGGGTATGTTTGTTATTATTTCTTCAAGTAATTTTTCTGCCCCCTTCTCTCTCTTCTTCTGGGCTCCCTATCACGTGCTTATTAGTACGCTTGATGATGTTGCTGAGTTCCCTTATCCTATTCTCATTTATTGTTTTTTCTTTTTGTTCTCCAGCTTGGTTGCTTTTCATTATCCTGTCTTCTAGATTGCTGATCTGTTCCTCTGCCTTTCCTAATCTCTTGTTCTCTCTAGTGTGTTTATTTCAGTTATTGAATTCTTCATCTCTGACTGGTTCTGTTTTACATTTTCTGTCTATGTGTTGAAGTTCTCACTGATTTCATCCATTCTTTTCTCAAGTCCATTGAGTATCTTTGTGACTAATACTTGCTTTTTCGGGCATAGTGCTTATCTCCGTTTCTTTTAGCTCTTTTCTGTGACTTTGCCCTGTTCTTTCATTTGGGACCTATTCCTGCCTCTGCATACTGTGTAACTCTCCGTGTTTGTATTTGGGAGATCTGCTATGTGTCTTGGTGGTGAAAGTTAGTGTACTTCTGTAGAAGAGGTCCTGTGGTGCCTTGTAGCACAGTACCCTCTGGTTGCTAGAACCATCTGTTCCAGGGATGTCTTCTGGATGGGCTGTGTGCACACTGTTGTGCCTGAGCCTCCTTTGCCTTCATCCCTGTTGGCTGCAAGACCTACTTTGCCTGCTACTGGGTGGAGTTTGGTTCCTATATTGTTGAGAGACCCTGGTGGGCCTGTAGGTGAGTGGGCCAGCAATCAGACTAGGTGTCTGCCATCAGCCTCTGTGGTCCCACTGAACGGCAGGGCTTTCCCTGCTGCGTGGCCTGCTAAAAGTTGCTGGAACTTTGGGCAGACTGGTGTGTGGGATTATCTCCATCTCTCCCCAGGGCAGGAGTCGCTTTGGAGTGACACTGGTCCCTGCTGGGACTGCTTGTAGTGTGACAGGAGAGGAGCCACTCTGGAGGGAGTCTGCTGAAGTGAGCGGGTTGGATGTGGTGGAAACGTAGGTGAATACATGGGCAGACACAGGGTGCTGGCAAGGTGGTCGGTAGTTAGTGCTCGTTTCTCCAAGCGTACAGCTATCTGGCCTGGGAGAGGAGAAGAGAAATGGTGCCTCCTAGCACTTTTGTTCTTGGAGAGGTCTGCTGGAGATCCCTGTCTCTCTAGTGCACACTCTGAGATTAGTAAATGAATTGCTTTCATGAATACCCCAGGTGTTTTTCAAACTGCTGCTTCTGTGCTAGTCTCCAGCAGTTTTTTATCATGTTGGCCCTTTAAGGGTCAGGACTCAATTTACTATTGCCTCCAGCTCTTGGAGATTTTTGAAGTACCTGGAGTTAAGCCCCGCTGATTTTAGAAATTTGCCAAGTTTAGCCTCCCTGGTTTTCAAAGCCAGATGTTCTGGGACTTCCTGTTCCCAGTGACTGGGGTGCACGGTATGGGCTCTGATCCTCTAGCTTTTCCGTGTTTTGTGGTGTCTCTTCCATTGATGGGAAGTCTTACACAGGTTTGGTTCCTAACTGTCTGCACCCCTCCTACACTTCTAGTGTGGCCTCTCTCGGTAGGATTAAGTGTGGAAAGTCTGTTCTAGCTGTCTTCAGGTGGTTTTCAGATGTAGCTGTTATCTTGGTTTGCTGATGGGAGGAGGTGAGCTCAGAATCCTCCTACTCTGCCTTCTTCTTTCCACCCCCTCCCACAAAGCTCTACTGTTAAACAGTTTGTAGTGTTGCTAGATTAATAAACTGTGGAATCATAATCGAAACCCAGGATTTTCACTTCAAATGCAGGACTTCTGCAGTATAAGGTACTCAGAAATAACACATAGTAAATCTGGTCAACCATAACAACCCAGAACTTTTTTCTGATTTAGCACACTACAAGTAACATTTATCTTCTGATAATCCAGTTACTCTCCGTGCTTGAGGTTTTGATAGCTTTTGTTTAGCTACTTGTTACACTAGGATATTGGTCAAAAAGGAAGGTTCTCCAATAGATGTAGTTCAGTACTTCTAAAAATCTTTTTAAGGAAACTAAATCAAAATTGGATACTGACCAGTGCATATAACATTATAACATTTTCCCTCAATTTTAGATTTTCTCCCATTTGTTTGTGATGGTTGTTCAGGAGTATTTTGGTAAGTTAAATCTTTATGCAGCATTTGGGAATAATTTTAGTGTTTGTAATAAGACATTTATTTCTGAAAAGCAGAATGATTTAAAATAGTTCTTACTTCAGCCATTGATATTTTATATTCATAATTAGAAAAAAGATTAGGCATAGGCTCTGATTACTTGTGGATAGTGGCTAAACTTCAAACTTTCAGAAATGGATTTATGTGTGTGATTTGTGTGTGTGTGTGTGTGTGTGTGTGTGTGTGTGTGTGTAAAAGTTGTATTTGTGTCTTAATCGTAAGGGGAGAACATATCCACAATTCAAAGAATACGGTAGAAAAAAAAATCCAGGTATTGTTACTACTCTTCATCTTAATCAAATGAAGAGCCCAACCTATACATCTCTTAAGTTGGCTATCACATGTTCTTCGTACACATATCACATGCAAAGTAAAACCTGGGACCTAACCAAAGATTTTTGGAAAATGTGTTTTCTTTGTAATTAAACTTTCATGTTTTAGGCATTTCACTGATTAAATAGAACACTGAAAGAATTATTTTCAGAAGATCACTCAAAGATTTATTAGGATTAAATAAAAGTAATGCATATTTTTAAGTCCTTTAGAACAAGAGCACTTCTTTGACATTTTATTTCTGATGGTCTTTGAGAAATACAAAGAATCTTTTAACTCCTTCTATTTGCACACACCTTGGAGCACTCAAAGGTATCTTAGAGTGGTGAATCGTATTTGTGTACGTTCAACAGTTGGGTTTTGAGACTCTAGATGCTCTACCTTTTTGCCATTTCAGCTTATATGCAGAGTTTTAATGTAGTGTAACTAATCTTAAGGATACTAACCACTAAAATATCTCCAATTAACTGTAGTTATATTTGATTGTTTGTATTTAAATAAACACTTTTTTTTTTAATTATTTAAGCCTTGAACACAGAAGCAAGGAGTCACACAGCTGTCGTGAGGTATGTTAATAGTTCTCCTAATAAAACATGTTTCTTTTTATGTCCTTTGATTTTGAATTCGATTCAGTTTAAAACCAGTCAGTGTACCACAGATTAAAATTTGGCATACTAAACTGATGATGTAAAGAGGCTCTTACTTCATTTTGTTATTTTTCATAGTTTGCTTTAAAGAAAAATTGGTCTCCTTAGTGATGACAAATCGTTAGAATTCTTGTATATTTCAGTTATGTTAACTTAGCCCACTTACAGCTTTAGGCTCTATATTTATAAATATACAGTGGAATTAACAGCCTCATCATATGCTCCTTCCAGTTCACCTTCACTGTTTTGTTCATTTTCCCTGGATCCTGGTGTTAGGATTGTGTGGTTGCAGATTGTTCTGACTCGATTGGCCTTAGATCACCAAGAACAAACTTGTAGTCCGATAAAAATCCCCACACCAATTCTGACCAAATTGAGACATTAATAAGGGCTGTTAAATAGAAGCCAAAGTATCCTCTTTATTACTCATAAAGGATAAACTGAATGAAGCTTGGTGTAGAGCCTACTAGGGTGCAAAGGAGATTCAGAATTAGGCAGATTTTCCCACCAATCACACAGTGCTTCACCAGGTTAGGCCTCGAAGAGAAAGCTGAGCCCAGCATGCCAAATGTAATTTTCTCCAACTCATAATAAGTGGCTCCACCTCCTTTGGTCCGAGAAAGGCAGAAAGTTAAACTGAGCTCACTCCATTTAGAAAGAAGCATTTGACCCACACTTTTCAGTTAGTATTTATTCCTGACCAGCAATTACCAAGCACTTTACTGAGGATTTTTATATCTTTTCTCTCAGTTATAGAAAATTCGAGTTAAATGAACTTCAGTTCAAATCTGGTCCTTTGAGGTTGAGGTGATTTATGTGATGAAAATAAAAATTAGCATATTGGTATTATGCAGGATTAGTTGGAGAGAAATAGTCATATAGTAAACATATTAATGTTTCTTATGCAGCTTGTAAATCCTCGTACTTTCCTTTTTCTTACAATATTTGACTTCTATGAACGTCTCTTGTGCAATGTCAATTAGATCTCATTAATTAAATAATGAATTGAAAATCGTTTTACCAGTGGACCATTAGAACAAATTTGGAAAAGTAGTTAAGAAGTTAACCCCAAGGGGCGCCTAGGTGGCTCAGTCAGTTAAGTGTCTGACTGGATTTCAGCTCAGGTCATGATCTCATGATCTCCTCCTAACAGCATGGAGGAGCCTGCTTGGGATTTTCTCTCTTCCTCTCCCTCTGCATGTCCCCTGCTGCTGCTGCTGCTGCTGCTGCTCCTGCTCCTCCTCCTCTCCCCCCT